AAGAGAGGCACCTGAACTCTAAGAAAATAAAACCTTGAACGTTGGCCCCAATTAACTGAAACTAAGAGATTGCTACGCCCATGCTATGGGGACAGAGTAGCCTTTTAGTTTATGATTAGATTGGAGAAAGAGTTATCAGATGGCCTCCCAACGGTGACCTTGGAAGACCTTGACAGCACTTGGAGTCTCAAGGTGGTACCAAAGAGGGCATCACTTATCCTGTGGAACATGCCCCAATTGCCTCGTCCCTTGTTGCCGAGATAAAAGGGTAACGAAGACACGAGGCATCTTATCCTGCCAGTACGAAGTACGGCGGCATGCACACTGGAGTTATGATCCCATCAGCAAACTCTCAAAGCGAAAATTGCAAAGCACCATCAAAAGCGCAGTCTGGAAGCTCAAAGGCTTTGTCCCAACACCCCTTGCGCACGTGAACAGTTGCTCAACACTGTTTCTGGTTTGAAAACAGGACGTCGGTGAAGAACCTCGTACACCCACAGCAGCAATGACCCTAACGGTGTTGCAAAAATGGCCCTCGAAATAGTGTGCTAAACATCAATGCGAGTAAGACGAAGGCAATCACCTTTCGACCTAAAAACAAACATGTTTCTACAACTAAATGCAAAGAATATGGATATTGTAGATAATTTTAAGAACTCAGGCGCAATTTTCAATCAGTTGTTATCTTGGGAAAATCATGTAAATGATTTATGCACTAGAGTATCAAAGGTCATTGGACCAGCCTCTCGTAACCGTTTTATCCAACCAAAAAATGTCAAGCTTCTTTTCTACAACTTTATTTTTTTCGCACCTCAATTATTGTTATCTAGGTTGGGGCACAACCACCCACACAAATCTAAAAAAAAAAAAATACTTCTATAGTAAAAAAAAAAAAAAAAGATGTTTGCCTCATTGAGAATGCTTCTTACTACTCTAGCATCAAGGGTCTGTTCATAAAAAATAATACGCTTCCGTTTACAATGTGTACAAGTACAGACCCGCGATCAGTTTTAAGTTAGAATATCAAAAAAATTGGGATAGCTCAGTAAACCTTGCAGAGCTAAAAGAACATGTAATTTCCTACCCAACTCAATCGGCGGAATATTGGACTGTGCAACTGGTGTCACAACGATTCAATGCAATCACTCAAATACACACTTCCTACAATATTGAACACCCTAATAAAAATAACATTGATATATTTCTATTGCAATTCAGGATTTATGGACTGAACTAATGTGGGAAGCAAACGAATAAATCGATTTATGAAACCTGTTTGATTTTTTGCTTTGTTATGTCGGTTTCTTCCCTCATACCTGAAAAATCCCGAGACAAGGGGAAAAGAAGGAACAAACAGATGCAGCTGCGTTTTGAGACTTCGTTGTGTTCGTCCATTCTTTTTCTCTTGTCTCTGGGTTTTTTCAAGTGTGAACGTTCACCAGCTAGCCTGCGCCACATCTGATTTTGGTTTTCTCAGTGTTTTACGCTGTTGCTTGGTTTAAACTTCGGTATATGCCACTACAAGGGAGCAAGGGGATCCGTCAAGCTGTTCTTGCAGCTTTTTTTCCCCTTGTTTCCTCCATTTATGTATCAAAATGAAAAATAAAGTTTCCTAATGACCGGGTAACTTAGCACAACGGAAGCCGAATGTGACGAGGGTTCGCTTTCTGTTGAGAGTTGCTAGAAACTTTGCCATAAACCTGTCAAAAAGCTATTTAACTAGACATATTAAATAACTCAATGTCTAAGGCTGCCAGCTTGCAAAATGTGCAAACACAGCGCAAGATCCCGGACCTGACCATAGAGGCAATCTAAGTGTGTGGTTACATAATGCAGAAGGAACAGCTTGTTGCACAGCGAGAGGAAATTAAAAAACAAAGAGATGTAAAATGCTCATTCGTGACAATTTTTCCTCCCTTCACCTTCTCCATTTCATCCCCACGATGCTAGCGCTCCTACAACGTAGGCTCATTAACCTGGAGCCGAGATAACAAAGCATAAAAGGATTCAGAGCTACGATATCTAATCAACAAGCTGCGCTCGCCTTGCAACGACACAGGGTGACCTACAAAACCCATCTGTATAGATCGCAACATCGGCGGAAACAAAGGCATTCGCTATTGTAATTATTCTTTACACAATGCAATTGTGCCTCATGGACAAGTTAAGGCTATGAATGCTGCTTGATATAAATGTTTACTTGCAAAAACTGACTGCTTACGAATGGTCTTTCAGTAATGTGCACCCACTGGCACTAAGGGTCACAACTATGTCTACTCAGTACAAAGCAGTATATGTCACTTCATTATCTCCAAAGACCTAAAACGACCTGCAGAAAAGCAACGGTGGGATCTCTCTTAAGGTAAGCCATATCTCAATGTTGCAATAAACTCGGACTAAGACATAAAAAATATAACCACTTGTGAAATACACAAACAAAATATTTATCCAGCTCATTCAACTCCGACTTCTTGCATATCCAATATTCACCAGGTTGCCAGCATCCTTTATATCAAAATCGTGTCAGCTCATGCTGCGCAGACAAAAGGCGGACGGAAGCCTACTACATCATAAGACAAATTGGATATGTAAAAGGGGCAGAAATACATCACCCCAAAACATACATACACTATTCACATGTGCCGGCTGTTAGGTAAACATGAATGTGGACATCTTAATACGATCCATTTTTCTTACAGTACGTAGATGCCGCCATGGTAACAATAAATTGAGACAAATTTGTGAGGCTCTAGTTGCAGCCGGGAAGGATTTTCTTATTCAAGACCAGTTCAATTCAAGATTTTATTTTGGATTTTCAATTTCGATAAAACCATCTTGCGGGTTAATTTTCGGGACTTATAAAGGCAGTCGCCAAAAACACTGAATCCTATCAATATTGCTAGGACACCAGCCATTCGCAGGTGTTTCTGAGGGATAAAAGCAATACACACCCAAGTTGTGGAGAACTCAGTCTTTTTTCCAACTGTACTGTGTCAGTCTGTACTGTCGTACCTCGTAACTTTATTGCTAATCGTTTTGCCCTCCTATTACAATCGACCCCTATCTATAGGTAAACGGTGGATTTGGCATCTGCAATCTAAGAGCAGACGAAGTGCCACATATGGGGAGGCATTGGGTGGCAAATTTGAGGCATTTTTAAAGGAAATCCAGAGAACATTTTTGATGGTGAACTGATGGCAAATAGTTCTTAGAGACTACACACACTGAGCCTATTTCTATTGAACGATATTAAAAGTAGAAATTTCTCAAATTGAAAATAAAGGCAGTCAAGCAAAAGTATCCTTTCACGAGTCTATGAAGGTCCCATCCTAGAAATTCTAAAGCTATATCAAAAGAAAGAAAGAAAGAAAGCCCGTGCTCCTTGTTGACGAAAAAAAAATGACAGATAGGCGCTCAGTTTGTTTTCACGATTGAATCTTGACAATGGTAAAACACTTTCTGCACCCACAAAGTGCTTAAGCAGAAGGGTTTTAATAATGTAACTTTAAGCACTCACAAATATAAGTAATGATGTCTGATGGAAACTGCAACACATATCATTGATTATCTTTTCGTGGATAATGTTAAATAGTTTAATTTATAGATCAACCTGCTTGCACTTTCTACCTACTTGTATGCAGTGCTCATGAACGCAACAAATACTGTGCAGCATGCCAGTTTTCATCCACGATGCTTGTAGGTGGAAAGTGGCACTACAATAACGGTCAAGTTGTGGTGGAAAAGTAAACAAAATCAGGCATTAGATGATTACTATGGACACATAAGCAAAAGCTCATTGCTTCTCGAAGTGATTTGGAGAGCAAAGTGAGCTGTGCACTTGTTGCTGTCCACGGACTTTTCACTATACTCATCTTCTATTCAACAGTCACAGTGGCAGTCTAACAGATCTTCAAATAAAAAAAAATACTTTTTTTTTCTTTTACTGGGATTTAGCAACAAAATCTGCCCAAAGGATGGCAGTTCACACGAGCTCGGTTTGGTTCCCAGTGGAGACACTTCTAAAATCAAGACATGAGGGCGAAGAACAAAGCCACATTGAGAACTGCAAAGAATGGGCGAATCACACAAGAAACTTGCACATCAGCAGGGTCACGAAATCTTGCCTTTACATTATAAGGTTAAGATAATGGCACTCTCCGTGGTCTAAAATCAGGAAATTGAGTAAAAAAAAAACACAACATTGATGTGTCATTTTTTCCTCGTTTTGACAACTGAAGTTTCTCTCAGGCTCATCCCTGCTTTGCAGCAACACACCGCCAACGCAGTCGACGTCATTATGCACCAGCCAGGCTAAAAATTTACCCACCACAGGCAGAAGCGCTGTATGCTCGTCAGCTGACCTTCCGACAGAGTGCCCCTGAAGACCTTTTTTTTACTTTCAATGCCAACTACCACAGAAAAAGACATGAGCTCGTGAGCACTCCCTCGCGAGCCCACGTCTTTTTGCAGGCATGGAAGTGCAGGCAGCTGGAGTCCCTCACCAGGTGCCTGCCCTTCCAATTTCCTGCCTAAGTTCCGACGTGTCCACAGCGAGGACTCGACCCTAAAACTATTCATTGCGGCTCAGGAAAGCCACGACACTCAAGAAAGGAATGAGCCCGCGAGTTTTGTGGGGAAGTCCGCGGTGCTTGCCGCGTCTAGTAATTTTAAGATTATATTTCAAAGATTAATTGGGTTGTGTGTACATACGTTTAAAGAGCGGGACAATAATCTCGAGTGTCTCTACTATAGACGAGAAATTTAGTTAGTGCAGTACACCACCCTTGAACGAGCATCACGCAGTAGTAGATGCTGGTCCGAATACAAGGACGGTCGACGTTTCCCCAAAACGAGACGCAGCTTCTCGGAGAAAAAAGAAAGTCCCGGTTGACCCTAGTTCTAGGTAGTTCTAGGGTGCAATTTCAGATGCCAACGCATCGGCGCCGGCTGTAGTGGCGGCAGCGGCAACACGTGCAGGGAAGGGTGGATCGTCGACTCACCTGACACCGGCAAACGATGTTGGCGTCGTTGGCGAGCAGGTCGACGAGTTTGCCCTTGCCTTCGTCGCCCCATTGCGTCCCCAGCACCACGTTCAGACTGTGTCCGTTGGCGCCGAGCGGTTTCTGGAAGTTATCCGACATGCCGATGCCGTTCACGCTGCTCACCACTGAGTCCGCGGCCATGCTTCCGCCCGCTTCCACCTCTTCTCTACGCCGCTGCTCGACACTCGCGATGATGACCGCCGCCGGTTCTGGCTGGCTTCACTGGAAAAGAAAAACGTCACTGCGCATGCGCGTCACGTGACCAACTGACGTCGTCTGTGACGCCACCAACGTTTGTTCACTTTATTTGTTTTACAAGTTTTATTCGTCTAATAGGTGCTCGCTTTTGATGGTGTATTGTAATTTCTCTGCTGGGTCTAAAGCATAGAGGTCTAAAGTGTAAACATTTATTTCCCTCGTGTTTTGTGCTTTTCTTTACCGGCGACTAGAGAGAACTTCGGCGCGCACTTTATTGGATGAAATTTGGTGACGTCACGACCAATAGGAGCACGGAAACAGACGCGGTCTCCTCAACGCCCGGAGAAACCGGAGAAACATCGGAAACATCGTGCCTGACGAACCGTCGTCGAACGAAAAGTGAGTGGTTTGAGTTTTCCTGTATGTGATCTCTATGTGTGTTCGTTCCACGCGTCCGAGCTCTTTCTTCGTTTCAGATCTATTTGGCGCCGTTGCCTACATTGTTTGAGCCTGCGTTCACGATTAAAACAACCATCGCAGAAAGCTGAAAGCCCGCCGAAGAACGGCTGACTTGCGAGCTAAACCTAATTCAACAAAACCATTTGATCCGACAGAATAATGTGCTTGATCTTACATTTCATGTCAACAAAGAACTGCGCTGTCTGTCTTCGTCCCTACATGTTTTATTCTTTCGTGTTTTTCAAATCTTTACCAACCCGCGTCCAATCGAATGCCCCGATCACAACCAATAGTTGGTCGTACTCCGATGGCCCTTATCATCAGCCGGTAAGGCAGTTACGTTTTTCGTTTCTGTATTTTGACCCAAGTAACGTCATATTCTCAAACTGAAATTCTATCACCACCTCTAGTTTCACATTCTGGTGCACCGTGCACTTGCAGCTTCCTGCACCCCTGCGAGGTTTCCTGCACCCCTGCGAGGTTTCCTGCGATCGTACCCTGTATATTATGGATTTCTCGCCGCACGCGAGTGCTCTCGAAGGCGTGCTATACACTCTGTAACATAGGCTGTGTGCAGAAAAGGCACAGGCCCGAGCACAAAAGCGCCCTTTTTGTACGAGCAGCCGTGCAAAAAGAACATTCTGCGGAGCTACGCACTCGCACCCGTGCCTCTGCTGCACACAACTTATTAATAACCGAGCCGTTCTCGTTTTTGTTTTGCATATTACTGTGAAAGAAGTGTCATTGTTGTTTTCTTCTCAAACAAAACTCACGCGCTAGACAAAAGCAAACAGATAGGAGTCTGCACATTCACACCCTTTTCTCCCTTGTGCGACAGGTTATAGCTGGTCGCGATTCAACACCATTTCTTTTGAAGCTGATGGGCACCACAAGGCGTGAAAGAGGTGACTTGCAGCTTTGCCAAGGCAGCAGCAAAACACTACAAGCCTTCGCATTAACTGGCTAGCCAGTGCCGCTCTGTTCTGAACAGCTCTGCGTGCCGTGCAGAGGGTTTGTGCAAGCTCGCTGGGTGGCGACGCTAGCCACGGTAAGTGCATCCTATGCAGCTTTCTTTTAGGGATATATGTGGCTTGCAGGCCATGTCGTGCATGTGCCACCCGAGGGACAGCAGTGCCAGTGGCAAGGCTGTGCTGATGGTAATCACCACTGCACTGTGTTTTCATTCAATAACTACTGAAAAGGAACCAAGCACTTCCGAGAGAGTCTCGGTTGTGCTTTGATGAACTCCAGGTCGCTTATGGACTTGATGTCTGTGTTAACAATGCAACGAGACTTCTTTTTAGTTTGGGGCGTTGTTTCTGCTGCGGATGACTAGCGTTGCAGTAGAGAAAGATGCAAAATAGTGTAATGCTTGCATTAGTTACCTAAATTAATGTCGGGAATAACTGACCTACATTTCCACTGACAGCATTTCTCAGAGGAATAGCCTGGACTAGATAGCTCGCTGCACTATGTCCTTCCTCCTTAGCCTGTACAACTCGGCGTCTTTTCCTGATTGTCTTATGTGGCTGCTTCTGTGTTTGCATAGGCACTCGGTTGAAATAGTGAAAGCTGTCTGCATTGCACATAACTGCCATGAAAGCCAGTGTGGACGTAGCTGGGGTAGCCCCCAATATGGCTTCCCTAGCTCGACACAAGTAATGTTCCTACCACTGTCGTGTTCGCAGAAAAAAGACCTGCTTAAAAAATCCAGCGATTTTTTGGGCAACCCCACCTAACCACATTTTCAAAATCGCCATCTTTTACTCTTTCCGGTATGCTATTTGCTATCACGAAACTCAAAATATTTATTATGAAATCGGCAAATGAAAATGACGCCAATACCAAGATTCAAATACCGTAAAATACTGGGCAAACGCCTACTCAAACTTTGGAGATAATTGCAAAAAAATGGGGGATGGGCGCTTGTCTGGTCATCAATTTTACATATAAATGTACTGTACGTATTTCCTCAGATCTCACAAATTTGGTAATGGGCGCTTAATGTGGAATGGGCGGATGTGCGCGGTATTTTACGGTATACTTGTGCTTTTCATTGCCGTGACATCATGGAAGGCACATAACCAGGATTTTGTTTCGAGGGGGGGGGGGGGGGGGGGGCCTGTTTATGACAAAGTGCTGTATGAGGGGGAGGGGGAGAGGAGGTCCCAGCAAAATGGAAGATTTCGGGGTGGGGCCCAGGTCCCATGGCCCCCCCCCCTGCCTACGTGCCTGCGTCACGGGATGGCAGGCTTGCGGTTCGAGTGGGCTGTCTAGAAATGAACTATGCCGAGCATTTGTTTCGTGCTGCGCGGGAGCTGGAGCAACCTTCCAAAACATTCTTTTAACGCCATGAAACTGTTTGTGGTCAGTTGAGAGCAAAGTCTACAGCCCAAAGAGTGAATGAACCCCTGCCTTCCCATGATGTAACTATTTCAATGTTGCCAGTAGAGCTTTTCACTTTGAAAAACACGATGATGACCCTAATTGTAAATTCTGTAACTTCGCGAAAAAAAGTTATTTTGGCCAAATATTTGGGTTACTATTTTAGCGATGTTCGTTGGTGTGTTAAGCAAGGTTTTAGGCAAATCGGGGACAATGAAGAAAATGCCGGGTACCCCTTTAAAGGAGAGCTCCGACTTTTCGAGCTACCTAATTCAAGGGCATAATCTGAATGCGGATGGCTTCCTGATTCCGAAATGCTATCGCATTCTCCCAGATTCACTCTAGTTAAGCGAAACATCATTCTCCCTAGTTTTTCCCCAGTTTTCCCCGTCGCCCAAGCGTCACGTCACTTTGTGCAGCAAGGCGTGCGGCCGGCAATCGGGTACACTCGCGCCCGCCTTTCTCGCGTCTAACAGCAAAAAAATCTGGGCATTCGTGCTGTTTAAAGTTGATAATTATATATATTTGCGCAAAGTATGGCCTTGGTCTATGTGCATAACTATAAGAACGTAAAAAAAAAAACGGGAGCAATTGGAATTTCATAAAACCACTTTTGCAACTCGCTACGCTCAAGCCGCGCCTCGCTAGTTTCGTGATATCGCTGGTAAATCGATTCTTTTTTTATTAGAAGGTGGCTGGTGAAAACAGGTCGAAGAGTCACGCCATAAATTTTTTGTGAATTGCCAAAGCACCGCGGAAATTGCTCGGAATGTGGGTACAGATGCCCCACACGCTCATATGACCTGAAGGAATGTGCCATTTGTTTTAGATTTTCTTTTGAAAAGTTACTGTTGCAGGCGTCAGCACGTGTGACTACTCTTGTGGCATGAATATGCTCCTTGGTGCTTAAGTAATTTAGCAAAAGATCTGTAAACATTTTCTGAAAAGCGCTTCTGGTCGATGCCATTTTCAGCGTTCATGCGTGTGGCACATACACTGCTTGCCTTCCAAAGCGATGAACATGTGCATGCTGGGCTGGGACCTAAGACATATAGACTGTGATTATCGTAAACAATGAAAAGTATAGAATGGAATGAACTGCGTTCGTGTAGATCAGGTGGCAGGTTACTGGTCATGACGATTGTGTTAAAATGACGATTAAAAGAACTTCGCAACCACCAAGCCAAACATCAAGGTGCAGGGAAATGCATATAAAATACACAAATACACTGTTCATCTCCAAATAAAGAATATTTGCTTGAAGATACAATAGTGCGTGAGGTACAGAAAGACATTATAAATCTTTTAATTCAAAATAGGGAAGGGGGTAATTCTATGTAAATTTTTTTTAAGTTAAGTTCATTTGGCACAGTTTTCATCAGTTGTAAATTTGCATGCCTCCCCTTAACAACATTAATATTTTCATAATTAAAAAAAAAAAAAACTTTTCAGCTCTGTATAAAATTTCTTTGCAATATAATAAATTAGACATTTTCATCACTTCTTCTGCAGCGAATATTGCACGCCAACCATTTGACAAACCAGGCAAGGATCTATTGTATATTAAAGGGGTACAAAAACAAAAATCGAAATATTCAAATTTCGTTCGGAAATGAGTCAAGCATGACAGATAATAACCGTAAATGATAATCGCACGTTTGTATTTTGAACGACTGGCTATATTTTTTGTTCCAAACTGTGCACTCGAGCAAGCACTCAAAGAGAAGTGAACGGAGAGCGCGATGCGTCGTGGGATATCCGACGCAAACACAAAACAGAAAAAAAAGATTCCCCGCATTGGTGACATAGCAAGGCTGGCGTGGTTATGAGCTTTGCCCTTGGTGGCGTTGTCAGCGTTATGGTGGTGTTAGTAGTGTCAGCGCGTAACAACCAAGCCGTTCGAAGTACCCGTGGAGCGACGAGCATGTGGCTGGCCCAAGGAGCACATAGCTTCCACAACACTGTCAGCTTAGGGCTGAACGTTGTGGGGAAAGCAACTTTTGTTCGAGTTTTGAGCGACGGGCTAATCTTCTAGGGGGACAATGGATGTGTCCGGTTGCACGAACGAGGGTCCGAGAAAGAGGGGAGTCCTTCCTTTCAGTCTTCTTGGATTGTTTGGTACAATGCGCGATTTGTGAGTTGAGCTAGGAGGAAAGCTAGAAGGAAAACGTTGAAATGCCAAAGAGCGGCGCTGCTCCGAAAGAATCTGCTATGTCACGACTACGTAGCAAGTTTCCCATTGTCGCTAGATTACCTCCCAAATAGGCTCCGCATGCATCCACCAGGTGCACATTGA